GTGCTGTAGTTTCTATGACTGTTTCAAAGGCTATTCATGGAACAGCAGAAGAAGATGAAGTGGCAGTGGAAAGTCAGGTCACGAAAGACCTTGTCCAGACTGCTAGGTGAACCTGGTAGGCGTTGAAAATATATCAAGCCCATGTTTTAAAAGACGATGTCAACATACCACCAGGGTGGAGGGAAAAGACTTAGACAACAGCAAAATTCTTCACAGATGATAGAGCATTTGTTTTTAGCTCCTGCTTCAATCATAATTATTATTTTAACAGATCTCATGATCAATACTGACGTGTAGGTAGGTTATTATAAAGTGATAGGAGATGTGAAAGAAGCTGGTGTGTCTGTAATATTGCTTAGCTGGCTATCATTTAGAGGAGTGGGGATAGTAGCCCAAGGGAAATTATAAAGGTAGCCTAGAAACAGATCATTCAGGGCCTTGAATGCCATGCTAAGCTGTTATCCTATAAAACAGTGGGGCACAAACAAGTATTTTATATAGTGAGTTATAGCTTGTGAAGATTTTTTTCTAGGCACATCTTACATAAACTTCAAAGGAACCCTGAAAAGTAGGTGTAATTATTCCATTTTACAAATGAGGAAGCTGGGTTTGGGGAACAGGCATTCATTCTACATTATTGAGCACCTGCTAAGGGCCAGGCACAATGTTGAGCTATGGGAATACAAAGAAGTAATAGTCTAATTAAAAAGACAAACATAAATTAGCAATTATAATAAGTTGCTGTGATAAAAATGTTTTGGGAGTAAAAAGAGGATTTGTCTAAATCTACATAATTAGAGAAGTCTTCCTGGAAGAGGTGAACTTGAGCTGAGTTTGAAGGAACAAATTGGTTACACAAATTGCCCAGAGATATTCACCTAGCAAACTATTTGGTTGAACTTGACCCAAATTTTCAGTGGCCAATTCTATGCCCTTTCCTCTACCCCAAGGACTAATTTTTGGTCTTGTGATGTTGAGCTCCATTGACATTCCTTTTTTTTTTTTTTAAGATATTATTTTTAAGTAATCTCTACACCCAATGTGGGGCTCGAACTTACAACCCTGAGATCAAGAGCCCCATGCTCCACCAAATAAGCCAGCCAAGTGCCCCTCCATTAACATTCTCAGTCACAATTCTACCTTGTAGTTTGAAAAGGTTGGAGATCCCAGTTTTTCCTTTTTAAACCCATTCATTTCCTCCTTTTAGAATGGATCTCTGGGTGTGTTTGAAAGGGAGTTGATTAGGCTCAGCAAAACTGTAAAGTGTTCCCTACCTAGTGGAATTAACTTCGTTAAAGTGACATAATGTGAGAGGTCCTTCTCTGCTTTCTTCCATTTGGGGGCACCATAATTTAGGCGCAATACTGTAGCACTCACCAAATACCTGGTTTTACAATAATAACTTGATGTGTTTTTTCCCCTTGAACTTGGAGTTTTGTAAAAGTGAACTAAGTTTTCTTCACTTGGTTTCTAGGATATCCTTGCTCCTCATCTCCTTGGCTGGTTCCTTCTCATTTCTCTGACCTCTCAACTTTGAAACGGTCTGTTCTCTCTCAGTATTCATTCCCTGGGTGATTTTATCCAGTTTCATAAATTTAAATTACATTCTATCTCTCTCAACGACTCTCAAGTTTTTATCTCCAGCTCTAACCTCTCCTGACCTCTAGACTCACATCTATCTTGACATCTTCACTGGTATTTCTCATAGACATCTCAAACCTAATATGTCCACAACCAAACTTCTAATCCTCCAAGCCCTTGTTCCCTCATCTCAGTAATGACACATCCTTGCTTCTACTAGCTTCTCAGGCCACGAACCTTGAAGTCATCATCGACACCCCTCTTTGTCTCTCAGACTTCTCATCTGATCATCAGCTAACCTTTAAATGCAGGGCGGCCACCAAGTCTGGGTCATAGGAGGTTGGGAGGTGATAAATGATTTGTCAATACCACGTTCTAATTCACAATAAAACACCAATATTTATGTTTCCAGACTTTGTGGTCACCCTGTGTATTCAGAATCCAGTCATTTCCCACCATTTCCACTTTCTACCACCCGTCCTAAGTTGCCGCTTCCATTGCCAGGACTTTTGCGGTAGCTTCCTACCTGGGCTCCCTGCTTCCGCTTTTGCCCCCTGACAACTTCATCTCAACACAACAATCGGAGCGATCCTTCTAAAACCTAAAACCCAAATTAGATCATGTAACTCCCCAGTTCAAAATCTTCCATTGGCTCCTATTTGACTCAGAATAAGACCCCAACCAGCAGCGCCGTCTGTGTTCTGGCTCCTGAGCTCTATCTGACCTCCATCCTGACTCCTCTCCTCCTCACTCGTATCAAGCTTGCTCCCACCACTAGCATTGCACTTGGCGGTCCCTGTTCCTGCAAACGCTATTTCCCCAGGGAGCCATCAGCATGGCTCCCTCACTTTGTTCTGGACTTAACTCAAATGTCCTTTGATCTCCCAATAAAATTGCAACACCCCCCCCCACCTCAGCTACACTTTCTCTAACTCTTGCCTCATTTTATGATTCTCTGTAGTAGTACAACCATCTGACATGTGTGATTATTTCTCTCTCTGCCAGAAAGTAAGATCCAGGAGGGCAAGGACTATGTTTGATTCCCTGCTATACCCCCAGCACTTAGAACAGGCCTAATGCAGAGTAGGTATTCAAACATTATTTCCCGAAGAAATGGAAAGAGAATGTCAGAATCTGTACTATTGAATGAGAAGTACACCCTTTTCCATAAAGGTAAATGAGACATAATCATGTACAAGAAATTCTGGATATCCACAATGACCCCTTGAGAGGAGCTGCTGAAAATTTTTTAAATGAATATGGTTTTAAAAGAAAATTTCTCTATTACAGAGAAGGCCAGATTTCACATATTCTAGAATCCTCCCAATTTTGCTGATATTTTTGGAATGTCCCAGGATGGTGAAGACTGAAATGCCGGCATTCTCACATTAGAGTCTTTATTCTCAGCTTCCGCCTTTGCACTCACTCAATTACAGAGCATCCAGGAAATAGACCCGTCGAGTGGCCTCACTCCCCTGTCAATATGCTGTATAACATGTCTGTTGATCACTACTTACTGCTGAAATAACTTCTCTTTTTTTTTTTTTTTTTTGAGATTTTCCTGTTCTACATTCTGCCCCACGCTAATAAGGGGAGGGGTTCGATTCTGCTCCCTGTGGGGTAGTACCCTGTGGAAAAGCAGCTTCCTCATTAGGGTGCAAGCTGAAAACACCATGATACTTCCTATAGAACATTACTTATCTTTTCTCCTTCCTTCCCACTCCCACTGTTCAGCCACTTCAAAACCATTGACTTGGGATAGGACTGTGGCCAGAAGATTTCAGTGTCTGAAAATTGGCTCTGAGGCTACTGAGTATAATGATGGAATCCAAGAAGTTCCTTAGACCGTGAAGACTGAAGAACACTAAGGTCAACACTGAGATGTTTATTGTTCTAAAGTCTGTGACCTGTTGTTACCTTTAAAATTCTATCTTTATAACCTGTGGAAATAGTAGGAACCCTGATCAGACACAACTTGCATTATTTAACAAACTTGCATTAACAAAAAGAAAATCCTGGATAAAGGAGTTGGAAGTAGCAAATGACTTCCTTTAACTCATTCAATAAATATTTATTGAGCACCTACTGTGACCAGAGTATGCTGATGATTCCAAACCAGATTCTTCTTTTCTATTTCAATAAAATTCCCGAGCAATTATAACCAAGGAGATATCCCCCCTCCCAAAACAGGAAATTTTGAACAAGATTTAGGTACAAGGGGGTGAAAAGATAAAAGAGGATATCGTCTCATAATGTAGCATGAGTTTAAATTTTAGAACTCCAAACTGAGCCTTTTTAAAAAAATTTTTTTACATTTATTTTTATTTTTGAGAGAGAGAGACAGAGTACGAGTGGAGAGGGGCAGAGAGAGAGGGAGACACAGGCTCCGAAGCTGTCAGCACAGAGCCCAACGCGGAACTCAAACTCACAAACTGCAAGATCATGACCTGAGCCGAAGTCATGCTCAACCGACTGAGCCACCCAGGCGCCCCCAAACTGAGTCTTATATGATCCCCTCCTTCTTAGCCTTCAAGGATTTCATGCAAGGAAGATCCTGTGAGCCAACATTTCCCTCTTTCTCTTAGACCTAGTCCCCAAACTCTGCCTTGTGTCACTTAGCAAGTAGCAGTGTCCTTTATTTTTGTGCAAAGATGCAGCATTGGCAATCAATTTTCTAGCAAGAGCGAAGAGAGGAAGAGGCCTTCACAAGCTTTGGTATAAGAGCCTACTGGGGGGGGAGGGTTGGTTGGGTTTTTTTGTTTTTTGGTTTTTTTTTTACAAAGTTTAAGGTTAGAACAAAGGAAGCTGAAGGTAACAAAAACCTGAGGTCAGTGAAAAATCTTCAAATCCTAGAAATCCTTTAGCCCCAACCAACTGAGGAGAAAGGGAAATCCCGAAAATCTAAGTAACCAGTCCCAGCTTGTGCCTGACTGGGAAAACTGGGGTTAGAACTAATCCTGGCTCAAAGCTTCTTCTTTTTCTTTCTTTCTTTCTTTTTTTTTTTCCGTTAAGGGTAATGTTATGGACTAAGAATAACATTATAGGCTGAGTGCACTAAGAAAGCATTTTCTCTGGGATTTTAACTTTGTGAGTGGTATTAAATAAGTTCCCCCCAAGAAGCTCTAGTTTTTCTCTGGATTCTTCAATGTTCTGGGAGAAAATGAGAGTTTTCCTTCAGAGCGGCAACAGCTTTGTTGATGGATCACGTCTAGGATTAGAAATGTTCTTATGTGAACATAGTCGTTCAGGGGGGAAATTGTTAAAATTGAAACCAAGCATAAAGAAGCAAAAGTGTTTCAGAGAGCCTCCTGCATTTTAGTTCAACTCTGGCAGCAAGAAAACAAAACCACATAATCTAAGGCTCACGCCCAACTCTCTGAAGCCCTGTATCTGCCAGTTCCTGTGTGGTTTGCCTACAGACTACAGGGCTAACGGGGGGTAGTTTGGAGGAGAGAGTAAGAAATAAGACAGGAGGAGGCACTATTAATGGATCTGTGAGCTGGTACCCTGTTTTAGTGCGGTCCTTGGACGACAGCACAAGGTGGATCTGTACTCTGACATGCAGTAATTTTGATGTTTGACTTCGCCTTCCTTCTTGCAAGAGAGGATTCTATTAACTTGGTGTCAAAGCCAAGGCATAGACCCAGCCTGTTCTCTTCAAAAAAGGTATGTCATTATACAACATTGGGATGTATACTCTAGAGATCTTGAACAGTTGTATAATTTGCAGAATGTTCTCCACAAGTCAAATCGAATTAAAAGGAATCCCATGGGCTCTCTGCATATTGCTTTTTCATATTTGGGTCCATCAGCGGAGGTCTGTAAATCTTTCGCCTTAACAATGCTTGTGGTGATGGGGTTCGATTTCCAGCAAAGGAACTCGTTCCTTACGTAGCCCAGCACACAAAATTCTCCACTAACTGGCTTCTGAGCCACCCCAGGGAGAGACTTGAGACCCATTACAGAGGTGAAATCCTCCCTCTCCACAGTCTGCATTTAATCCCTGTTGAGGGTGGGGATGACGGGCTAGGCAGCAATGAAGTGAACATTGGCGCTGTGGGGCCAGGATTGCTGCCTTACATTTCTCCTTCTGTTAGCATTCGTGTTCCCTTTACAAAGAACACCGCTTTGGATTTCTTTACAAAAAGAAAACTTCACAACGAAATAGGTTTTGAGAGAGTATTGTCTATCCTTGTCTCTTTATTGATAATTAGTGCTGTGTTTTTAGGATGGTGTCCAGTTCAGGCAGTGAGTCTGAAGACAAACTCCTTTGTGTTCTCTGTCCCAACTGCTCCTGAATGTGAGGGTTGAGTATACACACCAAAGGTCCCACTAACTTAAAAATACCGGGTTTACATGCCTGGAATGAGGCCTTGTTAATAGTGTATGTACATGTAACTTAATCTGCACGGTACTGAAAATACGCATCCCTAAATAAATTAAGAGGGAAATGTTTAGGGTCTAAATATCCAGTGGAAAAGATTGCATGTGCTCATGTGATGTTGTCTGAGGGTGGGAATCCTCAGGTCGAAGCATCTTTTGTTCTATACACTGCATTTATCAGCAACTGATTAGTTCTTTAATGGGTTCACCTTTTTTTTCTTTCTTATTTTTGGTTTCAGAAAGAACATTTAATATAAGTAGATTCTGCTTCTAAGTAGACCCAATATTGTTTCTAAAACTTCATGGTTATAATATAATTTTAAAGCAAACCTCTTTACAAAAGGATCTACTCTTAAAGAATACCATGTAAATAGAGAACCATCTAAGTGCATTTAAATTTTAAGTTTGAAAAATGACTATTTGTACTCTTTTCAAGAACTTTGTTTTTTGTAGAGAGAGGCCTGTGTCATTGAATAAAACTACCTTCTTAGACTGGACTTGGAGGGTCTATCATATAGTAAACAGTTATCTTATTTTCCCTAAATTGTGATAGGTTTTATTTTTTTGAAATGACGTTACTGACGCAGTAATGGGGAGGAAAGCTATCGATTTGCTCAATATCAATATGAGTATTATCTCCATTGTTTACATAATATCCTTCTGAATATATTCCACATCTTATGTCCTGATGAAAATTCCTTTCATTCTTTAATTCAGTTGCTGTATGCCTACCTCATAAGGATACCATAAGAATGAATGAGCTCACACAGATGTGAAGTGCCTTAGGAAAAAGGCACTATGAAAATGCAAAATTATGTCATTATTAATTATTTCTTTGAATCTTGATCATTTTCTTTCCATTTTTATATAAAATATATCTCGCTTACTGTCTGGAGCCATCTCTTTTAGAACCACTGCCTTCTGGAAGAGTTGAAGTTGATCTCAATTCCCACAAATTTATTGATTCTCAGAGAATAACACCTGCTGGTGTTGGGGTCTTGTGGGGCTCATGCCTAAACTTGAGCAGAACTTGCGTCTTTTCCTGGATCAAGAAAAAGCTACAATTGTTCATGAATGTGTCATTAAGTGAGTTTCCATCAGGAATTCTTAAACAAATAACAGTTGCTGCTGGATTCGTCCTAGGGATAGATTCTTCATTTTCATACCCTCCTAAAGCAAATTGAAAATTTGGTCAAGAATCTTTGAGACCTAAGTTATTTGAATCAAAAGATGAGGTTGATTGCCCCTCCTCCACTTTGTCCATTTCAACTATTTGCTAAAGCGTATTTTGATCTGTAAAGGAACAACACAGCCTTATGTGTCTTTCTTTCTTTCTTTCTTTCTTTCTTTCTTTCTTTCTTTCTTTCTTTCTTTCTTTCTTTCTTTCTTTCTTCTTGCCTGCCACTTTAAAATTTTCAGGAACAAAATAAATTTAACAAGTAAGCATTTACAAACACGTATTGGGCATTTGCTATGTATCAGGCCCTGTATTAGGCATTGAGCTCTCTTCAACAATGTTAATATTAGGTTTCAAGAAGCTTGAGCCAATAGACATTCAGTAAGCAATTTTTAAAACCAGTTTTCTTTTTAAATATGCATTCACAGACAAACATTATAGAGAATGAAAAGAAATCATTATTAAGTACAGGAAGATAAAAGTCTTATATGCTCTCCATAGAAGATGGAAGACATTTTATGAAGAATGTGAGGAAAATTGTCCAAACATAAAGTTGAAATATTAGTACAATGAATACCTCTATACTCGCCTGCTAGGCTCACCAACTGCTATCTTTTTGCCATATTTGTTCCAACTTTTTGTATTTCTTTCTGAACTACTTGCAAGCTACAAACAAAATGACACTTTGCTCCTAAATAAGTGGGTACACATCTAAGAATAGGGACATTCTCCTATATAACCACAATACTAACATTATACCTAAGCAGATGAATACTAATCCTTTAATATTATCTAATATATAGACCATTTCTAACCTTCACCATCTGACCTCCAAACACCTTCTGTACCTTTAAAAATAAAGTAGGATCTAATTTTTATAAAGAAAAGCACATTTTTTTGGCCTTTATGTCTTTTTATTTGATAGTTGAATTCTTTTTTTAAGAGTTGAGCCAGTTATCTTGTAGAATGTCCCACGTTCTGGATTTGTTGTTCCCTCATGATATTATTTAATTTACTCCTCTATTCCCACTATTTCCTGTAAACTCCAAGCTTTGACTAACGCATTGATTAGATTTTGCTAAGCGGTTTTTACAGAGTGCGCCATATTGCATCTCATAATGCACGTAATACCACGTTGTCCCTCTATTTGTGATTCTCAGTTTGATAACGGCTCAAGGTACTGATCTCACTCCCGGGAGCCCTTGTTGTAAAGGTACTTTCTCCACCTTTGCAATCAACAAGTTACCTTAGGGGGTGACATTTTGGCCAGGGTAGCACCTTATTTCCCAACAAATTTCACCTAATGGCTTTAGGTGATAATCCTTACCAAAATCCACTCTTCCACTGGGGGTCATATCCATGTTTCGTACACTTTGAAGAAGGATTAGACACACAAATTCATCATTTTTTAAAAAACTAGTTCTTTTTTTATTTTTTTATGTTTATTTTTGGCACACACACACATACACACACACATGGCAAGCAGGGAAGGGGCACAGAGAGAAGGAGACACGGAATATGAAGCAGGCCCCATCCAGGCTCTGAACTGTCAGTACAGAGCCCAGCATGGGGCTCGAACTTGTGAACCTCAAGATCATGACCTGAGCCAAAGTCAGACGCTCAACCGACTGATCCACCCAGGTCCCCCATAAATTCATCATTTTTAGCAGCAATAGCAGCTATTATTGAGTGTAGACATTCAGGTAATAACAGCTACCACAATAATAAGTAACATTTACTGGGTGCTTGCGCTGGGTTTGAGGCCAATCCTTCAGGTACTAACTGGACTATATGGGACAAGCTAATCTTTCTGTGCCTTCATTTCATAAGCTATAAAATGAGAGTAATTGGGGCACCTGGGTGGTTCAGTCGGTTGGGTGGCTGACTCTGGCTCAGGTCATGATCTCACGGTTCATGGGTTCGAGCCCCACAGTGGGCTCTGTGCTGACAGCTAGCTCAGAGCCTGGAGCCTGTTTTGGATTCTGTGTCTCCCTCTCTCTCTGACCCTCCCTTGCTCATGTTGCCTCTCTCTCTCTCTCACACTCAGAAATAAATAAAACATTTACAAAAAATTTTTAAATAAAATAAAGTGACAGTGATAATGTACCTATCTCACCATATTGTGTTGGAAACTAAATATAGTTGACTCTTGAACAACATGGGTTTGACTACATGGGTCCACTTAACACTTGGATTTTTTGAATAACTACAGTACAGGACTGTACATGCATTTTCTCTTCCTTATGATATTCTTAATAACATTTTCTCTAGCTTACTTCAGTGTAAGAAGACAGTGTATCATACATAGAACATGCAAAATCGGTGTTAATCGAGCATTCCTGTTATCAGTAAGGCTGCTGGTCAACAGTGGTCCATCAGTAGCTACGTTCAGGGGGAGTCAAAAGTTAAACACAGATCTTCTTTTTTTTTTTTTAATGTTTATTTACCCATTTAAGAGAGAGAGAAAGTGCACACTAGCAGGGGAGGGACAGAGAGAGAGAGAGGGAGAGAGAGAATCCCAAGCAGGCTCCACGCTATCAGTGCAGAACCCAACATGGGGCTCAAACCCATGAACTGTGAGATCATGACCTGAGCCAAAATCAAGAGTTGGACTTCAACCAACTGAGCCCCCCAGGCGCCCCTAAAAGTTATACACAGATTCTCAATTGTGTCCCAACTGGCTCATTGCTCAAGGAGCAACTGTAAATTATACACGTGAAGCCCCTAAAATGGTGTCTCTCTGAAGAAAGACATATGTAATGAGAAGTGACACAAATGGAACTGAATGGGAATCAGTAACAGGACCTTACACCACCACCACTCAGGTTTTAAGTTGGTGTAAGTTGCTAAAAACCTGGGAGCCAAGATATATTTTAGGTTTTGTTCATCTGAATGATAGCACTACATTAAGCATAGATGAGGATTCTTATTGCATTTATATAGCCTAAGGCTCTATTTGAGAAACTTTCGGCAAAAGATGCCACGAGGAACTGAAAAATATAGAACTATGAAGGAATAGGAAGGAAGCAAACAGAAAGGAATAATACAGGAGGGAAGTTATGATTCCGCAGAGCCGTGGGGCAGGAGATGATATTTTGATATACTC